GAAGGTCGCCATAGCACGAAAATGTAGGGGCCCAAGATATTCAACACCTCCCCGTCAAAAAGGGGCTTCCCAGTAACCCCGGTGTTTTCGGGCGTTGGAAGGCACCAAAAGCAGTACCGACCACCCGGGCTGTGGTTCGACGGGGTTAGTGCAGCCAACAGTAATACCCTGGTTTGTTAGGCCGTCCCCCATGAGACCTGGTCACGACCGGGGCGGGGGCGTGCCTCGATCCTTCTCAGGTATAACCCCCGGGATGGTAATGAAGAGAAAAAGGGGGGGGGGGGGGGGGTCGGCGGGGAGGAAAAGAGAGATTAAGAAGGGGAGATAGAGAGGATAAAGAAGGGTTATATAAGAGAAAAAAAATTTATATATTAAGAGAGAGATATATATATATTAGGGTTAAAAATATTTAAAAAAATTATATGAGAGAGGGGGGAGAGAAAATAAGAGGAAAAATAGGAAGAGATAAAAGAGGATTTATTAAAGAGGATAAAGAGAGAGAGTATATGAGAGGAAATTTTGAGAGAGAAAAATAGAGAGGGATATTAGAGAAGGAATTTAGAGAGAAGGGTAATAGAAGGTATATGGAGAGAGTATTAGAGAGAGAGTTTTATGAGAGGAAAATATAGGAGATTTATATATTAGAGGAGTATTTAGATATATATATAATTTTAAATTTATTATAATATATTATTATAATAATTTAAATTTTTTATATTATAAGAGGGATGAGATATATATATAGAGATTTATATAGAGATATATATATAGAGATATGATAATATAGGATATATATTAGAGATTATATATAGTATATATATATAGGATATATATATATAGAGATATTATTTAGAGATATATATTATAGAGATTATATTATGAGTATATATATATAGAGATATATTATTAGAGATATATATATATATGAGATATATTATATAGGTATATTATTAGAGATTATATATAGAGATATATATATAGAGATTATTATATATTAGATATTATATATAGTAATATATATATATTAGGAGAGAGGGAGAGATATTATATAGAGGAGATATATATATGAGGTCGATTTATATATAGAGAGAGTGATATATAGGCGAGATTATATAGGGTATATTTATATATATTATATAGAGAGAGTATTTTAATAGAGAAAGTGAGTATATATATATAGAGAAGAGATATTTTATTATAGAGAAAGGATATGTATTATATATGAGAGAGAGATATATATAGTATATGATATAGAGAGAGGAGAGATATATAAGTGAGATGATATAGTGAGAGAGAGATATAGTGATATATAGGAGGAGAGATATATAGAGGGTATTGAGATATCTATAGGAGGTATATATTATAGGGAGGATTATATATATATATAGATATTATATATATATATATATAGATATTATATTGATTTATTGTATAGTATATTTATATATTTATATATGTTTTTATATTATATATATTATATATAGTATAATAGATATATTAGATTATATATATATATATATATATTATTGTATTATATATAGAGAGATAGAGTTCTATGTAGAGTATATTATATGAGAATATATATAGGATATATATATAGAGTATATATATTAGAGATATTATATATAGAGTATTTATATAGAGTATATATATTGTGATATATATATATAGGTTTGTATATATATATATGGATATATATATATATAGAGTATATATATATAGAGATATTTATATAGAGATATTATATATGTGAGATATATTAGAGTTTATTATTAGAGATATTATTATAGAGATTTATATTAGAGATATATGATATAGAGATATATATATAGAGTATATTTAGAGATATATATATAGAGATATATATATGGATATATATATAGAGTATATATATAGAGTATATATATAGAGATATATATAGAGTGATATATATAGAGAGGTTTATATTGAGTTATATAGAGAGTATTTATATAGAGAGTATATATATATAGAGATATATATTAGAGATATATATTGAGAGATATATATTATGAGAGATTTATATAGAGAGATATATATATAGAGAGATTAATAGGAGATATTTAGGTTTAATAGGATATTATATAGAGATTTATATATAGGTAATATGAGAGTTATATATAGAAGATATATATTGGAGATAATTATAGAATATATTTAGAGATATATTATAGGTATAATAGGATTTTTTTTAGGATTATATATATATATTATTAATTTATTTATTTTTAAAATTTATAAAATAATATATTTTATATAATAAAAATTTATATCTAAAAATATATTCTATATATATATCTCTTATATATATTTTCTCTATATATATATTTCTCTCTAAATTTTTATTCTCTAATAATATATTTATATATATATCTTATATTTATATATCTGTTTTATTATATATATTATTTTATATAATTTATATATATATATATTTAATTTTTTTTAAATAGGGGTATGTATTGGGAGAAATTATGGAGAGAGAGATATATAGAGATATATTATTTGGAAAAGGGATTATATATATAGGTAATATTAGAGAGAATTATAGAGAATATATATAGAGATTTAATATATATAGTAAATTTTAAAAAGAATATATAAATTTTTAATAAGTATTATATAGAGTTATAATTATTAGATAAATTATTTGTATTATATATTATATATAGAGAGAGAGAAATATTATAAGAGATAATATATTGGATATATAAAATTTTAATGAGGAGATATTAGAGAGGTTAATAGAGAGGATATATAATATAAAAATTAGGAGATATTATTAGAGAGTGTATTTTTTAATATATTTTTTTTAATTATATTATTTATAATATATAATCTATATAATACACTCTCTATACCTCTCCTCTCCTTTTTATTATATTAATTATATTATTATATATTATTATAATATAACACATTAATTTTATTTTCTTATATTATTTTTAATATATATATATATATAATATCTCGTTTATTTAATATATATATATATAAAATATACATTATATATATACATTATATATATATTCTATATATAATATCTCTCTTCATATAAAATATATTTATATATATATATATATATTTAATTTTATATTTTATTTTTTAGATATATTATATATATAGAGAGAGAGAATATTTTTAGGAGATTTTATATATAGAGAGTATTATTATATAGAGGATATATTATTATTTATAGAGGTAGATATATAGAGGGTTTATATATAAAGGGATATATATATAGAGAAGATTATATTAGAGATGTTATATATAGATTAATATATATATTATATATTATATATTATATGAGATTTTATATAGAAGAGAGATATTATATAGAGAGAGATATATTATAGAGAGAGATATATATATGAGAGATAAATATATAGAGAGATATTTTATAGGAGAGAGATTATAAGAGAGAGAGATATTATAGAGAGAAGATATTTTATAGAGAGAGAGATATATATAGAGAGAGGATTATATATTAGAGAGAGATATATATAGAGAGAGATATTTTTATATTATTTTTGAGATATATATATATGGATTATTATATAGAGATTATATATATAGAGATATTTTATTATAAAAGATATATATATAGAAGATAATATATATAGAGATATATAAAATAGAAAATTTATAAATATATATAAGATTTATATATATAGAGAGAATATTATATATTTTAGAGATATATATATATATAGATATTATATATATATATATATAGATATATATATTTATAAAATATAGAGATTTATATATATATAGAAAAGAGATATATATATATAGAGGGAAAAGATATATAGAGTTTATATATAGAGGGATATATTATAGAGAGAGATATTTATAGGAGAGATTATATAGAGAGAGATTATTATAGAGATATATATATATAGAGAGAGAGAGATGAATGGGAGGATGTTGGCACCTGGAGAAGAAGTTGATATCCTTGGGGTGAAATTTGACTCCAAACTAACCATGAAGAAACCATGTAAATCTTGCAAACAAGGCAGCCAGGAAGTTTTACAGCACTTCGCCGTATCTCCCATCTGCTTGACAGTAGGGGTTGCAAGATCCTGTACGAGGCACAAGTACGCTCGCACCTTGAGTATGCTCCACTTTCTTGGTTTGCCTGCCCCCCCCCTCTCATCTGCGACTGCTTGACAAAGTAGAGAACAGAGCAAGACGTCTCATCTCTCGCCTGGACCCATCCTGGATAGATCTGTCATTTCAGCAGAGCCTTCAACATAGGAGGGATGTGGGTGGCGTTACTGTTATGTACAAGGCCAATATTGTCAAAATACCACACTTGGGTCCACTTCGAGGACAGCGTGAAACAAGCTTTTATGCCACAGGACGGGCAGAAAGCAGCAACTTCACTCTGGCTGTACCCTTCTCCAGAACATCACTCCATCTGAGATCATACATACCCAGGATGACTCGAGTATGGAACACATTCGTACAGGATAATGATGTCAACGAGATAAAGTCAGTTGATCAAATGAAAATGCTGGCCCACAGATGGCTCCAACTTCATCCTGTTTCCTACTTGTATGTCTCATAACAATAAAAATGGTTTCAAATGAGCTGATGTAGGTAACAGCTCTTAGCTTGCCAATAAAGTTAGGAATCCTTAACCTGTAAATAGCTGTCAATAAAGCTAGGGATCCTTAACCTTGTCAAACCCTGTGTTAAAAAAAAAAAAAGGAGATAGAGAGATCGATCGATCGTCCTTAAAAGTTCCATCACTGAAGGGTCTTAAGACCATTTATTTTAATACTTTTGTTATTCATTGAAGAGAGAGACTTGCCACCTGAGCAAGTTGAAAAAACTGCAGCGTCAACCTTCCTAAAACTTGACTCTGTAAGACTCGTTTAAGATAACCTAAATTCCACCGCTAAAACAAAAACAAAAGTTTCTTTTGTTGCCGTATGTTGATTTTGTAAGTTGTGAATTATTTTTTTTTATTTCAGGGAAGCGGACCTATGTGGGAGGACTTCCTGAGTCGTGCCAGCAAACTGCACCACGCCCTCAAGTAAGTACTACCTCATTAATATATATTAAGGGAACACTATCAACATTCGTGGCTCTTGATTATTCACCATCTTAACAAAAGATATCACAAACACTGCTGGGACAAGTGTGGTCTTCAGCAGAAAACTGGGCGAGTATCTTCACCAGGGACCGGATCAATCAGGCTGTGATGGGTATGTAGGGCAGCGGGGGGTCTGACAGCAACAGCCTAGGTAACTCAGGCCAGCACCAGACGGCCCGGGCTCATGGCCGGGCTTCGAGAGTAGTAAGACTCAAAGCAAATCAAAGGTAGCTGTGTGTGCACTCAGCTATTTGTGTTTACAAATAGTGTGTATAATATATATATATATATATATATATATATATATATATATATAATATATATATATATATATATATATATATATATATATATATATATATATATGCCGAATAAGTAAAACTTATAATTTTGGCTTAAATAGCAACGCTCTTCTTGCCGAATAAAGCAAGCGAAAATTTGTGTACGCAATTTCGCAAAAATCATTCTGAACCTAACGAAACAATATATTTCATTGTTTATTATTAAATCATTGTAAACTTGTCTAAAATATATTAAGTTGGATTAGGCTAAATTAAACTGCGCTTGTTATAATAAGGTTAGGTAAGTTTTCTAAGGTTCTTTTGGTACAAAATTAATAATTTTTACATTAACATAATTAAAAAATATATTTTTAAACATATAAGAGAAAATTATAGAAAGGACTTAATTTTAAATGAGTTCTTGCTAATTGATCAATTTTACCTATTCTGCACTAATATATATATATATATATATATATATATATATATATATATATATATATATATATATATATATATGGAGATGGGAAGTACAGTGCCTGCACTCTGAAGGAGGGGTGTTAATGTTGCAGTTTAAAAACTGTAGTGTAAAGCACCCTTCTGGAAAGACAGTGATGGAATGAATGATGGTGAAAGTTTTTCTTTTTCGGGCCACCCTGCCTTGGTGGGAATCGGCCAGTGTGTTTTATATATATGTATATATATATTATATATATATATATATATATATATATATATATATATATATATATTATATATATATATATATATATATATATATATATATTAATAGATGCACCACGCAGAAACAAGCGTGTATATATAGAGATCGCAGTCAGCAGGACTCGATACTGCGACTGGGGACGGTCAAGATTTCCAGGCAGCGCTCTTAGCCACTCAGCCACAAATGCCACATAAGCTGGGCAGCCTGGTTCACAAGCCATGTTTCTTCCCCAGGACGGGCACATCAGTGAGCCTCAAGTATGGAATCATGCTATTTCAATCTCCTCCTGTATACAGGAGTCCTGCTGACGGCGATTTTTCTCTATGTACGTAATTATATATTTCACTCTACACCCCTAACACAAGGAAAGCCTTTCATTCAACAGATATAAATCTGATGTATGGAGTGACCTGTAGGTCATTGGTACGGTGGCCCGTGGCCTGGTGGCTAAAGCTGTCGCTTCATAAGCTGAATGTCCGGGTTCGATTCCCGGCAAGGGCAGAAACATTGGGCGTGTTTACTTACACCGGTTGTCTATGTTCACCCATCAGTAAAATGGGTACCTGGGTGCTAGTGGACTGGTGTGGGTTACATCCTGGGACAAAACTGACTCAATTTGCCCGAAATACTCTCCATAACAAGCGGCTTTCTATGTAGTAGTATGTCATTGATGTCAGCTATGGTCTGTATACCTTGTACATGTACTTGTAGAAATATAATATTTTCTTCAGTCTAAATAAGCCTGGTTCGTAAGTGAAAAGGTGAATACCCACACGATACTCACACACAATATTAGTATGGAACGCTATTATGACGAGGTTGTGCACGCACAGGAGCTTTATCAAATGGCTAAAGCTCCTGCCAGAGCGAAACCTCGTTGTTATACAAAGTTCCATATTGGTCTTGTCTTGTCCAAGCTGGTTGGCCGGCAATGTGGGAGGACACATTTGTGTGTATGCTCACACATGTACCAGGCCCTGGGTCACCTTATGCTGTTGACCTGGAACTAGTTACGAATGTGGTTTGAAGTATGACTAATAGACTTTTAAGACTGTTTTGATAATGTTTGTTGCGATTACGTCTGCAGTAACTGTTAGTCATCACTGACGCAGATTGGTATTGAAAGTATGTTAGGATAATTGAAAATTGGTTCCGAGTCTCTAAATTCAAGTGCTTTGTGAGCCATACAACTGGTCACCGTAAACCTGCTAACCATGTTCATCTAGCAAAATTGGTACGTGGGTGTTAGTGGGCTGTTGAGGAAGGACCCGAAGGACTCCAGTGGATATAATCGTCTTGGGTTAAATATATCTAAGGATATCATCTTGAACCAGGTTTACACATGACAGCAGGTGCAGGCTACCTCCTCGCCTGAGGCCCCACCGCGACTAGCATTTGCACTGTTGATTCCTGGCCACCCTCTTGACTGTAATTTACCGCTTCAGTAGGTAACTGCTGGGTTTCTCTGCCCTGGGCACTATCTACCCTCTACCTTCAAGTTGACTGTCTTTCTTATACACATTGTGCTCTTGAAAAATAAACGAGGATTGTGTGTCTGACGGAGTACTCTTCATCACTTGCTGTGAAACTGCTTCACATCCTTGGGCCAGCTGTGAGGTACCGTGCACCTGTCCGCACCAGCTGTGACATCCTGTCCACCGGGCAGCTGCTGCTGCCGCCTCAAGTATCATCATTGTACCTATGTCAGTAGAGATTAATGTGAGACAAGACTACGCTAGCGAGCTGTGAATACCTAATATATTACACCTTTGCATCCGAGTTCCACTGAATATGTTTGAGTGTTTAGGTGCTTTTGAGTAGTCGATCTGTTTAACTTCGCTAGTACGAAGATAAAGTGGTCATTGCTTAGGTTTTAGTTGCGTACATTCACCAGCGTTGAGAGGTTGTGATGGTTATCAGACTAACCTGACCTCGCAAATTCTGCATCGATTTTACGCACACGGTTTTCAGCAGATTTCTCGATTACCGTTATTGAGGTTAGGTTCGATTAGGTTAGACCGTCATCAGTCAATAAAAAATGACCAATCATAATGCTAATAAGTGAAATATACAATAAAGGCCATGAGACGAGATGAAAAGTTTTGACGCGTGGACAGAAAACGGGAACTCATTGAGGGCCCTAGAAAATACACAGTAAATCACTGTCACCATTTGGCTCTCTTAGCAACAGCGAGATGTTAATAGAATAGTCTGTATACTGCGTGTCAGCAGCACAAACAGCTTGGCCCGCCAGGCCATCAACAAGGCATCTACCGGAAGCTGGGTCAACTTAGCGGTGGCGTGGTGTGAGCAGCCTGAGTGCATGACCAATAGTCGGTGTGTTGTATACACATTCTTAGTAGTGGTATGGTGTGAGCAGCCCGAGTGCGTGACCAACAGTCGGTCTGTTACACATTCTTCGGCCTAAATAGCAGGAAGATTTAACTTTTCATCAAAACTTGTTTTGGATTATAGCCTGTGATCTTGGAATGAATTATTAATATCTTTTAAGACTGTAATGGACTGATAATAGTGTTGACATTGCTGTTATAAAGTAATGAGAATACATTTGTAACTATAGCGGCAGATTTACGATAGCAAATTGTGAAAATAGCTGAAAATGTTTAATGTTGGCAGTGACTCGAGGGTTGAAACTTTAAGTGAAAATCGCTGAATATCATGTGACTGTTTCGTAAATGATACAAATAAAGCGGTAAGCCTGGCCTGTTGAGGCCATGTAAACTAGGCTTCCCGGAACAACTAGATGTGTTGCGGTCGACGAATGATCCAAAGAAGGTATCCCTCGTACCCCCGTAAACCCAACAGTAGAGTGAAGCCTAAGTTTATAATGCAGTTAAATAACAGTATTTAAAGATTTGAAACTTCAGAGAAATCTTTCTAAAGTTGGTACAAACACACGTAGCAAAAGACCTTCATTACTACCTCCTAATAAAGGACTTTAACTGTGTGTTTTTCTCACTTAGTCTACTCAGTGTTTCTGATAATGAATAGAAACAAATAACCCAATTTTTTAATGACAATGACAGATTGGTATCTGTTCACTCCAAAACCAATCCCAGCCGTCCGCTATGTAAACCTCTGCCTTTGATATACTTTCGAGTTACGGGAATTTTTCTACTGGAGCCCGGCCGTAGGTCAGACTTGTCTGATGTTTGCCTGGCTCACCAGGCTGTTGCTGTTGGCGGCCTGCTGGCCCACGTATCCATTACAGCCTGATTAATTTGGCATTGGGTGGCGGTACTGGTCCAGTTTCCTCTAGAAGACTTCTACCTTTGCCCCAGCAATGTTTTTGATATCTTCTAGTAAGATGTTAGTCTGGGACTACGGATGTTGATGCAGTGTTATCTTATTGTGCCAATGGCGCCCCTGCTTTTCATGGGGTTTATTGTACATTTTCTAACACGTCTCTCATACTATGTTATGGCAGTTTAGAGATTTAGGACCAGACCTCTAAATACTTTCCTGAAATATATCATTCTATCTCTCTCTCTCTCTCTCTCTCTCTCTCTCTCTCTCTCTCTCTCTCTCTCTCTCTCTCTCTCTCTCTCTCTCTCTCTCTCTCTCTCTCTCTCTCTCTCTGTGCTCCAGCGAGTACATATTTAGGACCTTGAGGTATTCCCAGTATTTTAAATCTTCTATTAGTGTCGTAAATGATCTCTCTATCTGTTCCAGCTTTGATATCTCTGCTGCCCTGAATGGAACAGTCAACACTGAACCATACTCTAAACGAGATAACACAAGCAGTTTGAATATCATCATTGGCACTATTTCCCTTGTTTTGAAAGTTCTCGTTATCTACCTTGTCTTTTTCCTGGCTGTTGTGAGAGTTGCCTTATGTTGTTCTTTGAAAGAATGTTTTTGTGTGTGTACTCGCCTAATTGTGGTTGCAGGGGTCGAGACTCAGCTCCTGGCCC